ACTCCTCTATTTCCTAGCTGTGTGACTTTCGGCAACTTGGTTACCCTCTCTGTTTCTCAATTTCCCCATCTGTAAAATTAGGACGTCATAGTACGTACCTCTTAAGAGTTATTGGCAGGGTTACGTCAATCAATGTAATTTGTGCTTACAACAGTGTCATGCATACAACAAGAATCAGAGAATATTCAGAGAATATTAGTAGTTAATGTTGTCGTGCTGCACACAGCCAGTTCCCAAATGTCAGAGATAAAGTGATCAAATGTGTTTCTTTTACATAGGTCTGAAAAACTAGAAACCCACTGTGAATGTTGACTATGATCCCTTTAACTCTTACTGAGTTGGGTGAAATTGGAACTTTAACAAGGGTGAGTGATGTCATGGGCAAGAGAGTGATGCCTACTGAGCATGACCTCAAAGGTCAGGGGAAGGCCTCTCCCAGTCTTGCCCCTTCCAATAACAGTTCCTGGGGTGGCTGTGACAAAATGTGGGCTCCCAGGGTGCCATTTTGTGGGCTAAGGCATTTAAGATGTAATCAAAATGGGAGGAGCTTCAGAGAGTAACAGGCTGTGAGGTGTCACAGTGACACCTATGACATTATGCACAGCCTTCTGCAATTATTCACTGAACAGGCCTGAGGGGACCGTCACATCTTGGCAAGCCAACAGGCCAGTGAGAGTGTGGGCTGCTTGCTGGGCAGTATCTCAGGAGGACTGAGAGGCTGCGATGAGACAACATAACTGTCTGCACAGTTTTGTGTAAGGCAAGCTAGACAGAACTGCTTTGCGTTGTAACTCCCTTGGCAAAAACAAATCAAGAGTCAGGTAGACACAGTTCAAAAGGAGCCATTTGGGCCAGTGCGTCCCAAATTCAAATGTGGAGGAGATCCCTGCAGATGCTGGTCAGCGGGAATGGGTGCAGCCAGATTCTGCAGGGATCTAATCAGCTGCTCCAAGATGCCCACCCACTGGCCCAAGCACCACACTTTGGGTAGTGAGGATTTCAATGGTTTGTTACTGGCCACTGGCTTTACTGACTGTAAAGCTGATATTTATCTCCAAGGGTAACTATTTCACATACGTCAATGAAGAGTGTCTCCTTTGTCTCTGGTTTAACGGCTTCTGAATCTTCAGTCCTAGCTCCACTGACTTCAGTAACCGGTGCACCCTCAGTGGCCACCATCTGGGAAGTTGATTCTAAGGAGTAACAAAAAGTTATGCATCTTGGAGTTAGTTTAACACAAGCCCAAGGTGAAGATGGATCCCAAAAGCAGACAGAGGCCAAAAGCCCTTCTCTTCCTTGGTTCCAAAGGCCAGCCTGTGACAGAAGAAGCCTCCAGCATCCATGGCTTCTGACAGACTTATGTCTATAAAGGGAAGAAAAGGCTGCCCCCCTCAGTCTGTCGTCTGGGGGTGAATCTAGTGAGGGAAAAACACCGTGCAGGGAGTGAAGCAGAAGCAGCCGGCACCCTGGGAACCACAGCGGGGCTGAGGCAAGACGCGCCCAGGCTGGCTCAGGAGGCAGCAGGGCCAGCTTCCCAGCCCTGCCCAGAGAAGGGTGGACCCACCACCAGCCCAGGTGCCTATCCCTCAGCCAGGGCACTCACCCCTTGTACAATGTCTTAATTGCCAGGTTGCCTGGGGAATATGGGATCACCCCGGGGGCCCTTCCTCCTCCTGCTCTTCAAGGTCCTCAAAGCTGTATGTATCCGTGGGCCCTGTGCTCCAATATCTCTTTGGTCTCCTGGCTTCTGTTCTGTTAGACATGGGTGGCCTACCTCTTCTTATTATCCATAGGACCAGTATGGCCACGTGAGACTCAGAACCACATCCAGACACCACTTGGGGAGGAAACAAGGAATCTGGCAGGGGCCACCTCCACCTCCAGCCCTCCTGACTGTCCCTCTGCGTCCTGGCTGTCTTTGATCTCCTCTGCTTGATCATCCCGTGGCTTCTCCAACTCCTGACTTCTAATTGCAATGGCTCTCACTTCCCTCTCACACCCTCTCTTCCTTCCATCTCCAGCTCTCCCAGCCAAGAAGCTCGAAGTCACGGCAACAGTCAAGTCTTTCATTTCCACTTTGCCAAAACCAATCTGTCTGGGCAGGGGTGAGGCAGGGAAGGTGATTTACAATCACTGGGTGCTTTGCAGATTTTATTGGCTCGGTTGCCTGGGGACTGTTTCCATGTCACAGAGGCATAGACAGGCTCAGAGGGGTTTTGTGGTTTGCCTGAAGTCACTTGGCTACTGAAGGGAGTTGGACTTGGGTTTGACCGTGGGGCTCCATCTAGAAACCACAATGTGCATTATGCAGACTGTTCTGGTGACTGCTCGATAGAAGCTAAAGGTCTTCTAGGATGAGGTATAATTAAAGAGATAGAAAATGCCACACAGCATTTCCAACCTGGGTGCACTCAGATAAGGTTTCTCTTCTGCCCTGATGTCTAAGCATCAGTGTCAGGTGGGGGTGGGTACTCAGGTCCGCGTCTGCTCCTCCTGCAAGCAGCCTCCACCCACAGGCAGCCTCCACCAGCAGGCAGCCTCCACCCGCAGCCTCCACTCCTGACTTCAGGGCAAGGCCCCAGAGAGCATCTGCATGGGTCCTGCACGGCTTGTCAGGCTGTGTTCTCCCCATCTTCTTCATCCCCACTGACGCCTGGTCATTTGGGAGGAAGGCTTGGTCCATGCAGGATCTTGTAAACCAACAGCTTTCTATCTAGATTTGCCTTTCCCAAGGCTGAGGCATTTAGGAGCTGGGAGGCTGGAGGAAGGATCTCCTTGCCCTAGACGCTGGGGGAGGGAGGTAAAGAAGGGAAGGGGGCAGGGGAGCTGGGGGAACTGAGCCGAACGTGGGTCACTCCTAGGTTCATTTACTTCCTCTGCAATCCAGAGCATGTTTCTTCACCTCACTGAGCCTCTGTTTTCAGCTCCACAGAATGGGGTGATGGTGATGGCATCACCTCCTAGGGCCACTGGGAAGGCTGTGACGCTGTGGCCTCATGTGGCACCATGCATGCTGGATCAACATGCAGCAGCCCGCACCTCCCCTCCAGCCCTCAGCCTCGCCCCGAGTCTGTTCAGCACAGCCAAGGCTCATGTAGACGGCTGCCAGGCTAGGTGCGAGTTCCAAGGAACAAACTCAGAGGAGAGGGGAAAACTTTGTATCTTGATCTTTGCCAAATCCACGTGTGAGACATCTAAGTCCTCCGTCAAGTGAATAACACCCGCCCCACATATGCTTACAGCAGAAGCGCTGCACCCGTCAAGTAAGAAAGCCTACATCGTCCCTCTCTGTGGAAAGCTTTAGGGTAACTATGGCCCTGGTTTGGTAAAAATTGTCTTCCAGAAGCCAAGCAAGGGTTAGGCTACAGAGGTTTGATGATCCTAGCCAGCAAAACGGAGCCATGAGCTCTAGAAGGGAGCGTTTCATAAGGAAAAGTCAAAATAGGTCACACTTCCCAGAAAGACACTTGAGCCCCAGACTCACGTCACGGTCGCAAGAAGAGCTGTGATGACCCCCTGCGACAGTGGGAGCAGAGCACCAGCGAGGGGGGAGCGGGTCCCCACAGCCTCTCTGAGCAGAGAGCAGTGTTCTCTCTCTGATGACTTGGTGCCCACTCGTTTGCTTGTTCCTTCCACGGCTGCTCCTCCCCTCCTCCCCTCCTCTGCCTCTTGCCTCACTGGCTCAGGACCCCTGGGAGGCTCTGGGCCCAGTACTGGACAAACTGCTATTGCTGCGTCCCCGACGTGGGGTCAGGACATCAGCACCACGCAAGGTCCCCCGACACCCCCTTCCAGGTCTGTGTTTTTATTTCCCACATACCTTTTATAAAAGACGCTAGGCTAGAGGAGATGTTTCAGATATTACTGAACAAAATAAAGGATGTGAATAAGAAATAAAAGAGCACTAAATACTTGGGGCTGGGCCCGTCCCGTGTTGAAGCAGGAAATTTAAGTGGGGCTCAGTTGGGTTAATCGCTGAAGATGGTCCAAGTCCGTGGCGGGGAAGGGAACTCACCGAGCCCTGGCACCCCAGGGTGTGGACCCTGCTCTGTGGCTGGTCTCCTTCGTGGCGTGGAACCCACTGTCACCCTGGGTCTCTCTCACAGAGTAGGGGCCTGTGTTCTGGGCTGGACAAGGGCCTGTGTTCTGAGCTGGACAAGGGCCTGTGTTCTGAGCTGGACAAGCTAAACGCTCCAAACAGACCTCAGTTACAAATGTTCCACTGACAACTCGCACTTAGGACAAGGGCTATTACAGGTAATAGGCAAACGTGTCTGTTCTAACTTACATATAATTCCACTTAAGAACAAACCTACAGAGCCTGCCTTGTTCATAACCCAGGGACCACCTGTAGGGATGGTGTTCTGGGGAATCCTGGGCTGATCTGTGAGTGGGCAGAACCCACGTCACATGGCTGGAATCTGCCAGGAATGTCCTTTTTTCTAGCTGAGTATCATTAACCACGGCAGCCACAGCCATGTGCGGCTACTGAGCCCTCAAAATGTGGCCAATATGAATTTTTTTATTTAACTGTTTTTATTTTTAATTAATTTAAATTTTTTTTTTTTTTTTTTT